ATACATTTTAATATTGCCTTCTCATCTCCGCTTCGACCCCTTGATATGAGATTTTAGGACTAATATTTTATATTCACTTCTCTTGCCTGCTATGCATGATGTCTGTTCCGTCTCATCTGCCTTGATTTAAGCACCGCCCTCTCAACGAAATAGCATGGAGCAGATACTGCTATTCAGCAGCACATGGCCGCTCAGCTGCTTGCGAACATTTCCACCTTTCATAGAAGCTGCAGGCTACGAATCTGTAACTTTCCTGTACTGTCGACTTAATGATTGTTCCTTCCTTCTCTTAGTCTTCATCCCTGAAGTTGGAGGCGACTTGGTCTTCCACCTTGGCTGACTTTCGCCGGGCTGCAAGGCTTTATATCCCAGAAGACTGAACTAATCTTCAGCCCTTCCGTTGCAGTCTTATTATGTTTTCGCGGACTGAATTTTCTCTCTTTGATCTAGACCGTGTTATTTGTCTCATATCTTAAGTCAAATTGGGGTTACTTTGCTGACATTGTCTTCTGCTGTGCTGTATCTAGGCGGGAAATCAGGCAGAAATGCAGAGCTCTGTAATAACACGGATTTTAGTAAAATGGAAAAACACGAAATATATATTTTCGGTTGATAACAATGACAGATGAATAATTTAAAATTAATATTTGAATTTTATACCGTGACATAATATAAACACATGCATAAGTGAGAGTGGTTAAAAAACCTAGAATTTATAATCATTGAAACCCATAACATGTGTCACAAAATATCAAATGTTTTCAGTGCTTGTTTCTAATATCTACATATGATAAAGTGCTTTTACACTAATATACTGCAAGCCGTCTGTAATACTATAACAAATTATTTTTATTTTTTTTTTTATTGCTAGTGGGGTGGGACTAAGTCCCTTGTACTGCGGCCACATCTGGCCTATTGTACCAGTCCCAGATGATAGGTGAGGGTGATTGTGGAGCAATTGGTGGAATGAAGATTGGCAGGGGAAACCGAAGTACTCGGAGAAAACCTGCTCCAGCGCCACTTTGTCCACCACAAATCCCACTTGACCAGACCCGGTATCGAACCCGGACCGCCGCGGTGGGAAGCCAGCGACTAACCGCTTGAGCTATGGCGCGGCCCTTATAACAAATTACGTGTTCTATTCCCTCCTACTATAACGCAGTCGTACATCTCAATCTTCTGCTATGGGAACCACATCCTGCAGGAGCTTCCAAACACTCAGGCTGATATATTTTGACAGATAATTGCGGATTATCTTGTAAACCTGACCATTCAACGTCACCCATTTTTGACACATGTTCTAAGAGGCACAGAAATCCAAGTTATACGTCCTAGACAATCCGCAAAATATTCAAAAGTAATTCCCATATTCAAACCCTACTTTCGGACCACATTGAAACCTGTTTCTTTGTGTCAATTTTAATTTTATCTCCCGCCTACATCTATGTCACGGAAATGATGTCTTCATTTTTCGGTTCTAGCTAAGGATATCATAAATCAAAGTGGAACGCGGCTATGATAAATGATATGAGATAATCAAATGCTTAGAATTTTTCAGAGGCGTATTAATCTTCCATTTCTTCCATTAAATTCTCATCAAGCACTTTACAAATTCTCCTGACTACAATTCTGAGTCCCTCGTAACATATCGCTATACTGGTTCTTTGGTGTGCTTGTAAAATATCCTAGTATTTTTCTCCATGCGCAATACTAGTTCCTTTTCCTACAAATTGATTCTGTATCTCAACCATGACCTTATGTGTAATGACCAACTGCATTAACGATTATTGGTTTCCGTGACTCGCCAAGCTGTCGTTACTGAAGCCTTCCGCTCTAATGTCACGTGACCGTAACAACATTGAGATGCTGAGTAGCCTGCAATACAGCGTTGAGTGTAACATAAACAGGGTTAATTGAAACTTGTATTTACAAAGGATGGCCTAAAAATGATATCTCAGGATCTGTAGCTCAGAACGCTGTTACTTTCCACGCTTATGTCCACTCCTTTATTTCTCTTGTACATAATATATAATGTAAGTTTTCAGAGCATTTGTTTCTACCAAAATTCGACACAATTGTCCACTTGGCTGAAACTCAGACTTCCAACGGTGAGGACAATAATTCCACAAGCCGACAATCCTTAACTGCATGCAACGGAAACGTCCCAATATATCACTTCTCAGTTACTAATTTTGGGGAGACGCGGTAGCGTAGTTGGTTGAGGCACTAGGCTTCAAGCCGGAAGATATCGGGTTCGATTCGTGATGACATTATTGAATTTTTTAATACATCTAATTTTTCCAGCCGCACTATGGCCCTGGGGTAGACTCAGCCTGTAACAGAAATGAGTACAAAGAATCTTCCCGGGGGGTAAAGGCTACCGGAGCGTAAGGCTGACAACCTCACCTCCATCTGTGAACCGATAGAAGTGTTTCCTGAATTCCCCCCCCCCCAAAAAAAAATTAGTATTTCAAAATATATAAATATTGTAACAGCTTTTTTTTTCTCTGTTCTGTGAGTTTTCCTAGTTAGTGTTCCCAGCTTCAGTGGATCATGACGAAATTCTGCAGATATTCTAGCGTTAGGGAATGTTCCGAAAGTAAATACTTCAAGCTACCTGTGGAATTGTAAATAGGAGACCACCCTCGTACGTTAAAGAATGCTACCCCGACTGCCAAACGAACCCTTCAGGTTTTAGTTAGTTTTCTTCAATTCCTTGAGGTTGGGGTGAGGCTGAGTCCGCTTGGTGCGTATGCCACTAACTGGCCTATTCTAGCAGCCCCGGTTAATACATGATTAATGTTGAATAATCGGTGGAATGAGAATTGGCAAGGGAAACCGAAGTACTCGGAGAAAAATTACCGCAGTGCTATTTTGTCCACCACAAATCCCACATGACCCGACCTGGGCTCGAAAACGAGCCGCCGCATTGGGAAGCCAACGACTAATCACCTGAGCTAGCCATTCAGGTTACAACGAAAACAAAGTGTTGAGAAAATTTTGTTGAAAATAGATCACTCATGTATCGGTATAAACCGTAATTTGTAATTTTTACTAGCTCCCTTTATAGAGGAAATCGCACTAAAGACCATTGTGTTCTCTGAAGTAAAAACGAGTTTTAAAAATGAAGATTCTAATTAGCTGCAAGTGTCAGGTTTCGAGACGTTTAGAGTAGGGAGTTTTACCTTCGTATATACAAAGAATTGCCGGTCACGATAGCCGAGCGGTCTAAGGCATGTACTGTCTTAGTTCGCTTGGAAACCGGGATCATGGGTTCGAATCCCACTCAGGGCATGGATGTTTAGTTTGTGTGTGTGCGTTTTTCTGTGTTTGTCTACAGGTAGAGGCCTTACGACGAGCTGATCACCCGCCCAAGAAGCCCTACCGAATGTGTTTGATCTAGAAAAACCGAAGTGAACGGAGAAGTTCATGGAGGTAGGCCTAGGCCCACTGGGGCTGTAGTGCCAAGGGGAAAAAAATACATATATACAAAGAATTAGATTATCAGTGCTTCGTACGTTTCTTGGGGAGGAGCCAGAAAATGTGAGTGCAGATGGACAGGCAATTGCAGAGAAACAAGTTGAATCGCTCATACAGAATGGATAATTTTCAGTCCAGTGTGACATACAAGTTTACAACACTTCAGTTTTTTCACCTTACATGTTTCAGTTCAAAAGAATCATCCCCAGAGGCGCACAAATCAAATGAATCGTTCATTTTTCATGGAAAAGGCTGAAAAATGAATAATCCTTCATCTTTTCTTCAATTCTTATGAACTGAAGCTTCTTATCCACCCTTTCCACTACTCACTCTATCTTAAATTGGAAGACAAATAGTGTTACAATAAATAATAAAACAGAAATTTTACCAGTCGAAAAGTTTCCGATTTTATCAGACAAAAGGATGATGTTTGAACTTCATTTCTTTTCCACTCTCACCAAAATTCCACTTCTGTCATCGCTCATGTTTCATTTCCTTGTCTTCATTCATCTGAGTGCAAAGGATGTGGACTTGATCGTCTCTTTAATTTGGAACTCCATCCTGTCCCTCCAGCCTTCGTTTGCCCTTTCTAATGTGCCTCCTTTGTGTGTGTGTGTGTGTGTGTGTCTCCTAATTCTCTCTCCCTCACTGACTTCTTTTCTACATTAGACTTAATTCCCTTTTCTTTTTTCTCTTCCATTCTAGTTTCATTACTCCCCTTTCCATCCATTTAGCCCATTACTTCCTTCACTTTCATCTTCTCATTTTGGTAATCGCGAGTTAGTCTGCAAGAGAACTGTCAGTCCGAATTTCTTCTCACTTCCAGACGTGTTTCTTTCAGTCCAGTCAACTTTCTTACGGTATTCTGTTATATAATTCGAATTTAAAAAAAAACATTCTCTTTGTACCGATCTCGATATCTCTTTGATTTTATATAAAATCTCCACGTTTTATATCTCCCACTTTGAATGTTATTCAACAGCCATCGGAAATAAAGCACCAGAAACAATCCAATTACCCCGCTGCTCAAGTTTAATAGACGTTCTTAGTGTCAACACTCGGTGTTGTTGCCATACCATAGCATCTTCGTGGTGGAATCCTAGTGTATGTTCCTAGATATCCGCAGAATATAAAAATATTGTTAGTAATATGTAAATACATTTTGTTATATAGCTCACAAATTATGATTATGGCGACGTACTTTGCCTCATTCTCATGTTCGTCTCCCACATATCCCGATAATCCTCTCAGAACTGTGATATTGCATACGCTCAATTTATTAAAACTGCAGTCTTCTGATATGTATAACGCCATGTAGGAAACCATCTACGAGACTAGAAGACATCAGTAGTAATATTTATTTTGGTGAGAATATGAAATGTTGACATTTATTCCTTATATTTTTTGTCAGAATATTGTCAGAATACAATAAAGTTAAAAGACGTGGCAAATGGTTCAAGTTACGATGGTACTTACGAACCCTGATGTATTGCTATTAACAGTGTGTTATGCATTTTCAGATCACATGTCATCGCTCTGCAAGAACCACTTCCTGGCGCTGCTGTACCGGAAGATAGACGGAGCTGTGCTGCAGTCTCAGAACGAGAGGAACCTCGATTGCGTCATCACCTTCCAGACCCATTCCATTCTGCAGCGCTTCATGCTGCGGTTCGATCTCCTGCAGCTGGACTGCAATGACCATCTTTTCATATACGACGGTGCCCATGCCGTCGGAAGCTACAAGGTACTGCTCTCTGCTTCCCTATATAACGAACTCACTCCTTGGAGCAGGATCTCAATTGAGGAGCTCAGCTAGTCAAGATATAGCCTTAATTACTCTGTCCACAATATCCTGCCACTACCTTTCCTAAGCCAGGTTAATTCGATCCATACAATTCCATATTATTTCTTTCACATCAATTTTAAAATTATCCTCCTATCCATGTCTAGGTCCATCGTCCTGTTTTTATCTAAATCGCCGTCCTGTCTATGTTTCAAAACACAACGTTTCGGAGACGATTCTGCCTCTGTCTTCAAGTGAAACCTACTCTGAGTATACTGAGAATACAGGAAGCCCGCACTAGTGACACATACACAAGAGTAATACGTCACACAAAAACTATGATAGCAGCAAAAGCGTGCAACGACAGCATTCCAGTCATGAGATAGAACAAAACATTAACTGCATGAAAGCACTGTGGACAAGTGAACAGTGCAGTGGTCTCCCCCAAAACAAAAAAAAAAGTCACTTGATGATGGCCCATATGCGGACGAAATATATCGTAAATTAGAAAAATATATACACGTAGAACTAGAGACGTTTTAGAAATTACGATAATCCCTTGTAATATACAAAATATACCTTTAGTGTCCTATTGACATTTTCATGAGTTTAACATCACAAAGTATTAAAACACATTTTTAGTGAGTGACATATTCTTGATGTCTTTTATATTGTTGCGTTATTGGCGGGTACTTTGATACTAAGGATAATGCCTCGATGCAACGGGATGCTGAAATATTATAAAATATAAAACCTACTGAGTTGGGCCAAATAGAAGGAGCTGGTCCCTATCTCTGAAAATAAGAAATATAAACAAGACGGTGTCTCAGATAAAGACAGGACGATGGATAATGTTCAGAAACATTATATTTGTAAAAATGTATCATGAGCACAAATTTTAGATCGTAATTGAAAGCTGTTATTGATTGTAAGGCAGTACAGACTAAAGCCGTCGAAATGTGGCAGCTGGCAGAAATAGTTCTGTAATAGTTTCCCAGGTGATTTCGTGAGAGGTGAACTAACAGCAGTTCGACCCTGTTTTGTTTAGACTCAATAGCAGTGTGTCACTACATCAAAGAGAGGCGCCGGGTGAGCGTCATATGCCGGAGCATCACACTTCCCCTCCCATCTGTGGAGACAACAACACCCGTTAATTGTCTGCCACGTGCCCCAAGCCTGTCTCGTACACTACCAGCTCAACACTTCGGTTCTGTTTCTGCAGATCTTCCGGGCGCATGTTGCTCTCAGGAGCAGAATTCGCTATAGCCGTTACTCTGACTCCGAAATGTCCGTCATTTTACGGAACCGCAGTGTCCACTGCCTTCATTTCAGCATTAACTTCTCACTTATACTACGTCTCCCAAGGGATCTCCCTTCATGGCTTCCGACTGAAGCTCCTTAAACAGTCCTCATCTTTTTTGTACATGAAGTACACGTATGTGTCATGTCCTTCGCCTTCCTTGAACTGATCCTGTAATATATTATTCTGAAGCGTGTAAATATTTTACTGCCTCCTTGAACCCCGATAATGAATTTTTTGGGTCCCATGCAGAGAAATGATTTGATAAGGTGAGCAACTACTAGCTTCTGAAGAGGAACTCTACTACACCGATTCGTTATTTAGCTAGTTAATTAGCTGATTTGAGGCTGGTTAGTTTTGCCTTTCCCATGTTTTTCCCCAGAAACTCTGTTTACAAGTTATGAATTCTGCAACGCTATTAATGTTCAGTGCTTACGTTTCCGACTGCTGTACATTTCTTGGAGATAAAGGAGGACAAATATATTTGTTCTGTATTTTTGACTTCGTCATCAAAAATTGTCATACATTCTTGGATTTATTAAGTGAACAAACTCAAGGACCTTGCAAATCAATCATAATCACGGCTGGCAAATGTAGAATTCTCTAAACTGCTCCATCACTTAGTGTGAGGACCTCCATTGCCGCTGAATCCTATCCTGTCTCCAGTCCATTGACTGCAGTCTTCATAACACTGACCATTTAGACTCCGAAGTTGACGCCTGCAAAGTGTGCGCGTCGGCCCAGCAACAGCCGCCATATTTGCGTAAGAGAGTAGACATCGTCAAGTAACTGAAGCCCACGTACCCCGAAATATTCGGTGAAGGCGTTAGCATCATTTATAGAAATCAAGGTTGATGAGTTATGCGTGACATTTAGCACACATTTGCATGGAAAATTTGATTACGAATATCCTAAGGTTTACATGGAAGGATTATACTGAAGATATCCTAAAGACTTTGGGATACGATTACGAGCTCTACTCGGTTGGTTCAAGAGAGGATCCAATGGCGCAATGTTTTGGACACAGTAACAGACGTAAGGGTTCCGTATATATCATGATTTCTCGATAGATTGATTATCGACTTCTGAAGGACTCTTCTCGTTAGAATATGTGGTAAGATATTCATACAACAGATGGCACTAGAGGGCATTTGATATCTGATTAAAATTAGAAATAGAATTCGTAGCTATTTTTCTCATCCTCGAAACGATATACCAATTTACAGCTGAAAGAATTGTCGATAAAACTGGCCGATAAAAAGGCAGAATCCATTTTGAAGCTCTTGCAAGACAGAATTGTAAAAATTCTCCTATGAGCATTGTTGTGCACGTTTCTCTGTATATCCGTCAGCAACTCCAGACGCGCTGAAGGGATTTTCACTCAATCTTGTGCTGGCGAGTGCTGCTAAAATTTGTCGATCAAACCCAGGTTTTCGTTGAAATGAAGCAGTGATGGTCTTGTTGTGTGTCTTTTAAGATCATTTCGGAAATGCCTAAAGCGCGTTTCTCTATATATACTATTTATTGAAGCAAAAACTGTTTTGAACAAGACTTGTTGAGAGAAGGGAATTAGACACTAATGCCCAAGGCAAATGTTGCACATGTCCTACCGCTTAGGAGATGATTAAGCAAGGAACAGCCAGGACCGTTAGGTACCCGTACATTTTATAACCTGAAGATTGCAGTCTTCTGGGATCTGACTCCCTGTAGATCTATTGTAAACCGACGTTTTAGAGGAAAATATCGCCTCCATATTCAGGGTAGAAACATCCGCGAGCGAGGAACCAGCGTGAGCAGGTGTCTGCAGCCACTTTCTCACGCTGGTTCCTCGCTCGCGGATTTTTCCACCCTGAAGATGGAGGCGACATTTTCCTCTGAAACGTCGGTTTACACTAGATCTACACGGCGTCATGTCCCAGAAGACGGCATTATTCATAGTCACCTCCGCGAAAACCTCAAATTGTACATTTCATAACGTGTTTTTTTTTTCGTGTGGAACACTTAGACCGCCATCGCCCTTCGCCTTGGACAGCGGTGAATAGCGTGTCATACGGAGCCTGGCAATTTGCTGAACACAACATACGTCAGCTGCGAACTTCACAGTAAATTCCAAATTATTTTGAATATATCGGCCCTGATGAACACATTTACGTTCGTAGGATTTGAGATCCTCGTAGCGGTGGTTATGAAGAGTTCTTGCCTCTGGAATTTAACGTCATAATATCCGTTGAAACGCAATCGACGTTTCGGGGGAACATGTCGGTTGAATTCTAGCGGACAGCTCGGCGTTATATCCCAGAAGCCAGAACTCTTCGAATTACGGTGGCCTGTAAGTGTGGGCCAGAACCCTTTTGTGTTTACTAGACATCCCCTATGTGAATATCTCTTAAAGTATTGGGAATTAAAAGTGGTAACATTGCCTCAGTCTGCCAGCGGATAAAACTTAAGAAGGATGCGTTAGGTAATACAAAAAAATTATTTAAGAAGACTGCGGTATAGCGAAGAATTTATATTTGTTGAAAATATATAATGGTGGCACAAGGCAGCGTAGTTAGTTGAGGCACTATGCTACAAACCGGAAGGTTGCGGGTTCGAGTCCCGATGCGGTTAATGAATTTTTCAATTGACGTAATCCTTCCAGCCACACTATGGCACTGAGGTCGACTTAGCCTCTAAAAGAAATGAGTACCGGGTATCTGTTACCGGCCTGTTACAGGGATAGCTTTACCTTTTAGCTTACAGATATAACATATTTAAACATAAATGTCCCGTAGTAGGGCAGAACGGTCGTACTTTTACGGTCTAGGCGTTGAATGCATGTAATTTAATAACAATCAAGAAATCGCAGACTGGATTGTTTTTTCCACTGGTCTAAACCATACAATACACTACCTCAGAACCGCTCAATACACTGGCTCAAAAGGACTTACGTCGCCTTGTAGAGAGGCCACCACATCTCTCCTAGCTGAGAGATACCATTCAGGCCGGACTCAGTTTGAACTCTGAGTTTCTCTGTGTACACATGCCTCCACTTTGCTTAGTGCGGGGGTGGAGTCCAGCTGGGTGCACTGGGCACGGCGGCTACTGATTGGCCTATTGTACCTGACCCAGATGATTATGATGATAGAGAATTTTGTGGAATGAAGATTGGCAGGGGAAACCCAAGTACTCGGAGAAAACCCGCCCCAGCGCCACTTTGTCCACCACAAATCCCACTTGACCAGACCTGGGATCGAACCCGGGCCCCCGCGGTGGCATGCCTCCACTTAGTTGCAATTCTGGGAAGTGTATCAGAAATGATGGTTCACGCATAAGAACAGAAGTTTAAGGGTTAGAATAGGAAGATTGTTTTGTGTGGGCAGAGGAAATAAGGGGTAGGAGCTGAACGAAGGGAGAACCAGAGAGTTTGAGGAATGAGGATGAGTAACTTTCCAAAACTTGCCATTGACAAGAAACAAAGATTGATTGCGCAAAAGACGAGTTAAAACTCGCTAGTAGGATTTTTATTATATTGTTCTCCCCCTTTTCCACTTTGCCCCGCCCTCTCACGCACCCCCCCCCCCTTTCGCATGAGGCGTGTCGAACAGGAAGAGAGTGAGGGGCAGTTTGCGAAATTCCAAACTTGGGAATTGCAAGATTGTACACGTCACATTGAGACACG